TATAAAACATGTATGGTGTACTTATTTAAACTGTTTAATTAACAGACATAACAACCTAAATTTATGTATATCAAATATTATATAAATAATTTTATTTACTTTATAATTAAAACATAATATTATTATAAATTTTTAAAAAGTTTCTCTATATTTGTCCATTAGTGTATGTTTACCACAAATTTCTTGAGATTTCCTTTTAAAATATTTTTAAAATTACTAAAACTAAAAGAGATATAGCACTTTTTGGTAAGCTAATGAGATTATGCTACTTTCATTGTTTTATATTTATATAGATTTATTATTTTTAAATATTTTACTGAAATTTTTTCGAAAATTGAAGAAACTTCATCAAAATTTTATGAGCCAAAGGCATTTTTTATCCGTTTTCCGATGCAATTATAGCAAAAGTAAAAGTTTAAATTAATCATGACTTTTAAAAAAATTTTAAAGTCTGATTTAATTTACTTTATAATTGGTAACTGAATTAAATTATTTAAATTAATGTATGCATATAAGTAACAATAATTACTTATAGTGTATTTAAATCCAAGCCGAACTAAACAAAAACGCCCAGACGCTTGATAACTCGTTCTTATTGGTCGATTCGGAATCTGTTGTAAATAATTTACAGTAAATTATTATTAAAGGTCCCAGGGGAGGCCGCATGTGAAATTTATGCGAAATTTTCACAGGCAATGTTGAAATTTTTAAAAATTTCAATTTTCCAACTAAATGAAAGTTTGAAACTTTCAAAGTTGAAATTCCCAAAAAAAATCAACCGTTTACAAGTTTTTGCTAAAATAAGATCAATAAAATTTTTTTATAAAAAAACAAAATATTGTAAAAAATTGTAAAAACAAACAAAAAAATTAAAAAAACAAACAAAAAAATTAAAAAACCAAAGGGAACAGGAAAAATGACTAATTTGTATAAAAAAATTTATCCAAAAAATCTTGTTTTTATTTGAAATAAATTAATATATGTAGGTTGGGTAATTGACATAATATTTGATGGTCTGATTATAACGATACCAATTCTGTACAAATAATATTAAAAATTGTTATAACATTGCAATTTGCGTGCTTTGAACAATCAATATTGGTTTAATAAATCTATTAGCTTTATGGGGAGTTAAAAATTTGTAATTATGCGTGAATTTATTATGGTAAACATGAATTATTACCATAAAACACCAACAAACAGGTTTAATTTATTAAATATTGACAATTCAATTATCGCGGTCATTTGTGTTTTTAATGATACAAATAAATATATAATAATAATTTGTTAATTATATATCAATTTCACTTTTTTGTTAATTTATGTATTTAATTTAATTAAACAGTCTCCGAACTACATACAAAAATTTTAAGAGGTGATTCTACGAGGCAAAGTATGAGAAAAGTTTCCAAGAACATGAGCTCTTTCAAGATGTCAACATTTTATTTTTTATCTCACATTAAAAAATAGAATGTGAAATAGCATTAAATTTGGCACTAGCATTTTCAACTCTAAAGACATCTTTTGTCAATTTATATTTAAATTTTGTTTTGTTTGCATGATTATAAGGTAATTTTAAATTTTTTAAAGCCATTTATGGTTGTTTATTCGAAAAACGTTGGCTCCATGACTTTGTAACAAGAGCACCTTTTTTACGTAAAATTATCTGGAGAATTGCATTCTAAGATCGAGAATTCTAAACCCCACAAAAAAATAATTAGATCTTTTTTGCCCAAAAAATAACCTAGAAATAAAGCATCAGTATTTTCGCAATAAGCGTTTCTGAAATAATAAAAAGTTAATTTTGTTAAACAGTTTAAAATGCCTGTAGCGCCCCCAGGAGGCATTTTCTGACATATGTTTATAGCAACTTTTTTTTATTTGTACGTGTAGAATCACTCCCCGAAATATATTATTGTTATTTCCGGACACCCTGTATAAGAAATTAATAAAATTAAAAACTGTGTACATTTTGGCTGTCGACCATATAATTTCATCCGGATGTCCCTAATTGTTTTATAAATCGTCAAAAACGACTCCGTTGTCACTCTTTTATTAACACCTGCATCTTTTAATAAAAATTCCCAACGAAAGGCATTATTGTCTAAATATGTATATTCTTCGTTGATAAACACCTCGATATTAACATAAAAAAGTGCTGTCTGCATTAAAAAGATCATAAATCAACTGCCTGTGTGTTCAGGAAAACCACACGACTTGACGTTCGTTGTTTGCCTTTCCTTCCAACCCCGAAAAAGTTTTTCACGGGGAGCAACTGGTGGTTTTTCCGTTTGATTAATAGTTCCTTTCAAGTTCGATCAAGTTTATTATTAACGCGTTCCTCGAATGTTTACAATGAATAATAATCCCAAGTATGCCAATAGCATTATTTTAATGGTATATTATTTAAATGTCAGGCGCTTTTTAATCTTGTGTGTTGGATTCTTTTAATTTTATCCAAGTGATATCTTCATTATAAAAGCATTAGTATCAAGGTTGATTTTTAAGTAATCTAATAAATCTCGAGTCAAAAAAATTCGTTCTTTATAAATATTTGGACATGCCACCGAAAATAATTACATGGTTGTGTTAAGTCGCAAAGAAGTATAGTGTAAAACGGTCTAATTATCTTTTTTCGTGTACACACTCGAGCCACTCAGGGTTTTAAGGCATTTTTTATCTTGGCATTTAATCTGAATTTTTTTAAAACACATAATGCGCGGTCATTGAGTTTCCCATGACGAATCCACGGCACACACTACACATAATCGCAACGCGACTGTTTACCGCCACCACGTTGCCACATCGTACAAAAACCAAGAAATATTATTTTTAAACCCCGCAAGAAAAATAAAATGTTATCAATTTTACGTTGTTTTTATTGGTGGTTTTAAAAGTTAGTTGGGTGGTCGATGTGGCAACAGTGTAAAGCCGGCAGCCTTGATTGTATCTTAAAGTAATGTAGGTATGATATCTTCAAAGATGGGGAAAATATTTCTGGCATTCCTAAAGCATGTTAGACATAAATTGAACGTGGAGGAGTATGATCTGCGCCTATACCTTTGTATGTAGATGTCCCTGCGTGGAATTTACAATGAAGCCAGTTAACTTAAAAGTGTAGACGAGAGAAGGAATGAGCGCACGAGTGGCACACTAATAAGCTGTCGTCTACAAGAAGGTAATTAGACATAAGCACAGCGCACAGTTGAAGCTTATTATTCTCATACAAGGTAAAAGATATATCATGCAGAGTGTGTTTTAAAATTTTTGAGATTAAGTAAAATTGTAGGTAATTAATTATACAGGGTGCAACTTCTTTATTTGAACAACTACAATGTAGGTTAAATTAACTGAAAACCTGTCAAAACCAAAAATCGTTATTCCTTATAATTTTTAAAAAAGTAAGTTTTACATGTATATTTTGAGTTAGGTACCAGTTATAACAATTTTTGGTATTGAAAGGTTTTTTTAATTTATAAATTTCATGTTCATTAACCGACTATGTAGATCTTTAAATAAAAAAATACCCATATAAGTATAATACACCTAGAAGTATACTTGATGCACCATGTATATTATTTTGGCATCAAAATTGTCAATAATATTCTTCTTTTATTAGGCTGGCTATACATTAAATAAAAGAAACGCATGAAATATTTTATAAAAGTAGAGATAATTTTAATAGTTATTAGTGGCTGCTTTATCACTTGTACCATGGTTAACCATGGGATACCATGGTATCCCAAAATTTAACAGCCAATTCTTATGTTAAATTGTCCCCTGAATCCGAAAATGTCAAAAGTTAAAAAATTAGAACAGTTTTTGAAATATAGTAAATTTCCCATTTACATTATTAGAATTGGCTTTTAAATTTTGGGATACCATGGTATTCCATGGTTAACCATGGTACAAGTGAAAACGCAGCCACTAATAACTATTAAATTAGTCATTTTTGACTAATTCATTTTTAGAGAGTATATACCAAAAGTGTTTGCATACACTTTTGGCACAGTGTACAGGGTGATCCCCTATAATGTCGCCCTCCTTTAACTTTTTAATTTAACTATCCCAAAAAATGTAAAGGTATGGTTAGGTAGGTATCGATTTTGGAAAATTAATCAGTATAGAGAGAAAACAAAAAGTTTATTTTTTTTATGGATCACCCTATATCACATATATAAATTTATTTTTCGATTAAATTAAATATTTTGTTTAACTGTTACAAATCAAGAAGCCTCATGATAACAATATTTAGTTAGGTATATGGTATGTTATTATGAATTATGCTTAGAATTTTACAAGGAATCGAAAAATAAATTCATATATAGGGTGATCCATTAAGAAAAAATAAACTTTTTGTTTTTTCCCTGTATACTGATCAATTTTCCAATTTTTTATACGTAGAAAACAAGTATTTTTCAGTACCTTCATAGCCACACTTTTAAATTTATTTGGACACTTAAAATAAAAACGTTAAAGGGGGGCGACATTATAGGGGATCACCCTCTACATACAAGTAAATCTAATATCAAAAACGTGTAAAACTAATAAAACGGCCCACTTTTGACGACATCTCAAAATTTTCGTAATTTTATAGAGGATTAGGGGAAAAAATGGCGTTGTCATAATAAAATTAATTTTTAATTTCTTAAAAATGGCCAAAAAAATATTTCAAAGTATAAATTATTTTTATGTAAAAATCTGAACATAACGCTCCCTCGATCATCATTTTTTTAAATTTTTCAAATTTAAAATTTTATCCGAAGATTATGCCTAAAGCAGTTGTTATACTTCAATATACTCCGATAATTCTCTTAATATAAGGACCATTAGTTATTTGCAAAATTTCTAAACCGACCTTTATGAAACTTTTTTGTTCAAAATAGATTTTTCCAATTATCTTCTGTTTTGTTAAAATCACGTTGAGATTTCATCCATCTTTTAGGTACAAAAGCGAGCTTTAAAAGAAAAAACGTGCGAAATAAATGCTTTAAACTTACCATTGACACGGGTATGGGTCCAGTCGCTCCATTGGCGTATCCATAGGGGCCGACGAGGTATCCCATGTTGAAGGATGAAGTGTGGGCGGAAGGTTCAACCTTGCCTATATTAAAAAAAATGTTAAATACTTCAAAAATTAAAATGTAAAAATAAAATTAAAGCAAATGTACTAGAAAAAAAATCTTTTATTTTTTGCATCTGTTTCCAAAATTCCTGTTAATCCCCTTCAAAGTATTTACTGCTGCATATTTACAAATACGTTCCAGATGTGTTAAATATTAGGTCTTGATGGTGTCGGTGCCGTTAACAAAATTTTTATGGTGGCGACATATTTTTTTCGATGGGGCTACGATTAGTATTTGGGTTTTTTACGCTCGGCATTCCAGGCACCCTTAAATAAATAAACAACACGTGGATGGCAAAGCCAGCTCAAAGTTCATACACCTGCTCCTAATAACTACGATATTTTTATAATAAACATAGGTGCTGCCTGCATGAGTTCGGAGATTCTATTTTAAACGTTTTGGAGAAGATAATTTATCAGTTGCTTTAAAAATACATTTAATTTTACAGGTTAGCTCTTAATAAAAGTATTCTAAAAACCTTAAAATATCTCCCTACTGTATTAATTAGTGAAGTATATGGGGGATATTTTACAGCAATAAAAACTTAACAGCTCTTTGTAAGATAAGGAATGATATTGTAAAACCTTATAAATACAGAAATATATTTATAAATTAATAGAAAAAAGAAGTGATATGCACCTTTATTATAGTTTTGTTATAAAAAAAATGCAAGATATTTTGTTCTAAACCAATAATCACAATCAATTTCGAACTTCGATAAAACAATTCTGGAATCGTATAATAAGCATTTTTTCGTGATTGTTCTCTGTACGTAGAGAGACTTAGTCTGGTCACATGACCGAGCTCGGTATGTTATTAACATCCGTTGCCGTAATGTGGGCATCATTTTGTTGGTACGTCACGAGCGACGTGATAAAACAAATTATAAAACAACGCTGCAGACCCCAAATTACCGATTATGCCGAGATGCTTCTCACATAACACTTAAGGGGGCCCACCGCACCAATCTGGTCCAAAGTTCCTGTATATTTTTTGGGATGCAATATAATTTCTCTAATATAAAGGAAACTCTTAAAACGTATTTTTCCGGTGGTGCCAAATTCAAGTTGCAATTTTTAAGGTTATATAATTTCGAGTTTAAACATTTTTTTGTGAAAATATTTTTATTTGGAAAAATTTTCATATTATAAAACCATACTTTCTCATTGATAAGGTCAAGTACAAGTAGAACTGTTAAAATCGTAGGCTTGCCGGTAAGACCCCTTAAGTGTTTCTCATGGAAAAGAGCATTTAAATGAGTTTGCTTGGATGTTCATTTTAACGCTAGGTAAACAAGATTGAAAAAAGTGTGCCCGATGCCGGAGCCCAACGTGTAATTTTCCATTGCGAGGCCAGAAAATTGCATTTTGATGATAATTGGTAACGTGGGGAAAAAACTATGTATGCGCAGGGTGAGTCGAAATAACATGTCGAGACGTTAAGTACGTGTTTACATCAGATCCCAAATTAAAGGATATAAACAACATTAAAAAAAATATTTAAAAATAAAAGAAACAAAATCATTTTATAGTACCTATATGTTTTTAGGCGAATTATAAAAACCTAAAAAAGTAAAACTTACCAAATACGGGACTGTGATCTGGTCGTTGAGCATGTTTATGGGAATTTGTGTAGTTGCCACCGGATTTTTCCTGAAATAAAAAACAAAATAAATGCAATCACAATCCAAAAAAACATTATTTATTTAATTGACAAAAAGTTAAAATCACAATAAAGCTTTTATAGTATATTATGTATCATGTTTTATAAACGCCATTTTAGTTACAAGTTTAATTAAGCACGAAGCGAAGCTTGCGAGTGAGTGTTTAATAAAAACGAGTGTCTAGATAAGTTTATAAACCGAGTTGCATACTATACTTTATCTACGACGAACATAAAGAATTGAAAGTCCTTTTTTTTTGTTTAACATTTGACATCTGTCAAATGTCAACGGATTTAACCTCACTTTTCCCCCATTTATAATAAAGCCAACTTCAGTCCGTGACTAAAATGCCCAAAATCCACAATTGCTAACTTCAGCCCGTGACTAAAACGCCATAAAGTCACAGCTCATCAATGTAGGAGTAGATAAAAACAGTTAAAGAATGTAAATTACATTATTTAATGAATCTTATTTGGTATTTAGTAGGTACCTATAAAAAACCTGTAACATAATATGTAATGGTAATATGGCCAAAAGATCTTTAATTGTAATTTTAATGATATTATTTAAATTTTAACATAAAAAATTACAATTTTTACTTAAAATGTATTCAAAGTCGTTTATAAGCGTTTTATTAATTAAACTTTATTGTCGTTGACACTTAAAACTGAAGTGACTGATTATGACCTAGGCTAATAAAAATTATTATGGGCTAGAAATTAGTTGTTATGCGTCAGTAATTGGCCTATTTCATTATTTACTGTAACTTGGACATAAATTACTAATTCTTTATTTTGTGTTTTTTGTGAATAAAATAAGAAATTGACAAATTTTTAATGTCGTCAAAATCTAAGCACTTGCCATGCAAACCTTAAAAAATACTCAAAGTGAAGTGCCGAGATAGGATTTTAAAATGTTCCACTCAAAATTTACACAATTAGATATGTACATAGGTATCTATAGTTGAAAATTTTTAATCTTGTTAATCTATTATTTATTATTATTATTATTTATTGTATTAACCTGATTAAATTTTGATAAGCGCGGTATTCTTATTCAGCATTTCGGTTTTAGAAACTCTCACTCTATCTATGTAAACACACATTTATCAATGTTCGATACGATATTTGACATAAACCAATATTTACACACAAGTTTTGTGATATGCGGTTATAAGATCAATTTTTTTATTTTTTAACCAATTTAAGTTTGTATACGACTAGGTACCTAAATGTTATTTTTTAAGTTAGAAAAAAATGTTTTTTTCAAAAGGTAAGATAAATTTTTAAAATAAACAAACCCAAATCATTTATAATTTATAACAAAAAGTGGAAAACTTTTGATCTAACAAAGCTATAGGTACCTAATTAGGTTGTAAAAACTTATGAAATTGACATCGAAAATAATATTTGTTCAATCTCTAATATATTTTTGCGCGCGAAACGTTCCATTAGCATGGAAATTGCATTTTCTCATTATTTTAATGCATGAATTTTATGACCGGCAGACCGGTGCATAAGAAAAACCTCGCGCAGACGTCATTTGAATAATCTTCCGTGAAGAAATAATAATTTTATGATCGGCCATTATGAGTTTAGAGTTAATAAAAAACAAACTTCAATAAATACGTTTAAACGATTTTTTTAAATTTATTAATCTGGACACACGGTAAAAAATTAATAATTCGATCATTATCATCGTGATCGAGCACTTTTGATTTATATAATGAAATAAATGCGCATTCCTGTTCTTTATTATGTATTTCATAAGATAAGGTTTAGTCCCATCCGTTTTTATTATTTTATAAAAAGGAATGTAAATTTCCATTTATGTACGAAAAGCATGTAAATCGCAAGATAAACCATATAAACTTTAAAAAGACCAAGACGTTTTGATATCAAAAACATTTAAATTTATGCTAATGTCGCCTTTATGTATATTAAATTAGATATTTATGTATTTGTGTACGAAATACACTAGGAAATCGTAATATGTAAATTTAAAAGTTTAAAAAATTGCATGAAAAAAAATTATCCAAATAAGTTTATTTATATTACTTTTAAGCTACATGAAAAAAATTGTTATTAGTTTCTTGAAAAAAACAGCAATTTTAACAACAATAAACAGGAAATAGGTACCGCATTTCCATTTCATTACCAACACAATAGAGTAATTGCATCAAAAATGAAAATCCCTAAAAACCTTTTTATTGTAATCTAGAGGTAAAAACACATTGCGAAAATATTTTTTTATATTCCAAAAGTTCAACCCGGGTCCAAAATATCAAATTGAAAAAAAGGTACTTTTCAAACGTTCCGAACTCCCGCCAAATTGCATGACGTCATAAGCTCCAACTGTCAGAAATCAAGATGTCAACAAATAATAAACACCGATAAAGTTTAACATGGAAAACGCGAAACCAAAAATTGGTTGTAAATATTGTTTTGTGCCTTGTATAAATACAACCTGGAAAACTCCTGGGAAAAGGTTTATCACCGTGCCAAAAGGGAAAATAAGGATAAAGTGGATTAAAATAGCTCGGCGCGATATCAAAACATCGTCACCGCAGTCAACATTTTATTGATCATTTTAAGGATCATTTTAATGTAAGTAAAATAAAATGTCGTTTACTAGGTATATGGTTTGAATAGGTATGTTAAATATTAATAAACCCAAGAAAATACGGCTGAGCCGTAACTACTCTCATTGTAGGGTCATAAACTTTGCTTTTGATAATTGAAGGGACAACTTTCCCAGGAGTTTTCCAGGTTGTATTTGTACAACAAGGCACAAAACAATATTTACAACCAATTTTTGGTTTCGCCTTTTCCATGTTAAACATAAACTTTATCGGTGTTTATTATTTGTTGACATCTTGATTTCTGACAGTTGGAGCTTATGACGTCATGCAATTTGGCGGGAGTTCGGAACGTTTGAAAAGTACCTTTTTTTTAATTTGATATTTTGGGGCCGGGTTGAACTTTTGGAATATAAAAAAATATTTTTGCAATGTGTTTTTACCTCTAGATTACATTAAAAAGGTTTTTAGGGATTTTCATTTTTGATGCAATTACTCTATTTTAGATTTATTGTTAAAAAAAGATATTTTTTACAAAATACGCATTACCTACCTACCAAAATGACAATTTAATTACACACATTTTGTTTTTAAGAAAGTAGTATTTATTTTTATTAAAATCCTAAAAACTTGTTTCTGTCGAAAAATTGCCTGGGCGGGAAGTGGTCTGTTATGGTCTCATTATAAACATTTGATTAAATATCCTTTTTGATTTAATATAGGTAATCCTTATCTATTTAATTGAGATAATGCAAACACGAAGAATAATTAATTTTTATATAAAAACCATTACTAATCCATCGATAAGGTGTTTTTATTAAACAATTTATTTACTTAGCCGTAAAATAGTTAGGTAATTTATTTTGACTTCTGCAAGTATTTTTACACCCTTTGGTAAACCAAACACACAACCCATCATGGTTTTAAACTATCCACGGACATAGTAATTGGGAAATTATCAAATATTTGTTTAGGTGAAAATGATTATACCGTACTACATAATTATGATTCCTGGAAGGCCCCTTTACCTGTCACTTCTTTTTAAACGCTACAGAGAGAGAGGTTCTCTTCTTCTCGGCCAGACTAGGCGTATAATTTTAAAATGCTGCGTAGGTAATACTGGGGCCTTAACTTTCAGCTTAACATATTTCCCAGATGATTTATTGACAATTAAATTTTATACTGCAGAAACGAAATTACCGGCTTAAAAATACTTGTTAAATATCAAAATAACACGGACAGATTTTAATCCAGAGTGTTGAATATTAAGATATATTTGTGTATAGTAAATAAATTACATCCGACGGAAAAGTTTTTTTGACATTGTTGTGTTCGAGGAATTTTGTTGTTGCACTTTGATTGGCTTTTCTCGGAATTGGCAGCGTTTATTTGACAATTGTTGGGTTATTGGCCCTTGATATAAACATTTAGTTAGGTTTGTTTTATTGTGTTACTGTGGGATTTGGCAAGTAAATCAAAGTTTGCGTCAGTGGGTAGAGTTTTGTTTGGATGTCAAAATGCAGGTGGGGTTTGACAGTAGTGTTTAGGTGTTGGTAGAATAAGTTAAAAGTTGTACCTCAGACTCGGTGAGGTCGATAAGGCTGCTCTTCTCCTCGGTGAGGTTTTCGGAGGACCTCTTCTCGTCCTCACCGTCGCCCTCGTCCTTGAACACCTTAACCTCATCGGTGCTGCCGAGATCATCGCCGCCACTACTTGAGACGTGTGGCATGGTTCACTCAACGCGAGCGCGACACAGCGGCATCACAGCCTGCATCACACAACAACAACTACCGCGAAAAACAACGAAAATGCCTTCCTATTAATCCCATGTTCACATCAGCACACCGAGCACTTTGTCATAGATCACTTGCAAAAAATTCGAATGTCAACAAAAACACAACACTGGTTGGTCGGGGGTGAGCACGTGAAGCGGCAGCAAGAAGTTGTGACTAGTAGAGTAGTAAGTAAAAACGAGTACGGTTGTGCGGCGTTGTTCGCCTCCTGTGGACACTGACTGGCGCAGCGAGATCAAGCAGGCGCGCACCGATGCTCTCTGTCGGGCCCGACCAATCAGCGCCGCGTTTGATCCTCCGAGGCGGCTCGCAGTAATGGCAGCCGCACGACTGCGCACGACTTGCTCCGACCTTCTCCGCACAGTTGCGACAAACCGAAAACCCCTCAACACGGATAAATAATAACATTTCTTATTAACGAATCTACAAAATCCAAAGAAATGTTGCTTTAAAAAAATTTAAAATCTTTAAATGGATTATTTATATTAATTTTAGAAAATTTTTATCAAAATATTATTCTGTTAAAATTTCCTTTTATAATATTAAAAATTATTCAATTTTTGTCCTAAAATTAATATAGGTAACTGTATCATTTAAAAATTTCTCATTAATTGAAGTTATATTTATGTAGGATTTATCAATTTTGAAGGTACCTATTTATTTATGGTAAAAAGCTAAAACAAAAATATACCTATTTTTAATTGGTTTTTGTTTAGACTTTTTACTACAAATAAATACAAAATTAATAAATTTTTCATAAAAATAACATAGCTAGGTAGGTATTACTACTTTACTGTACTTTTAAAAGCTTAGCTTACATTTTAGGTTTACGTGCATTTTTAAAATAAAATTGTTTATTGATTCAAATTTTTTCTTTTAATTTTATTAGTATTTAGTATTGCATCTTGATATACCTCTAAAATGTAAAAATAAAAACACTCTTAAAGTAGTACCTACTGTAGGGTGGTGACCCACCCTTAGTATTCTCTGAAAAATGTCACTTGTCTTGACGAATTCTATACTTGTCTTACTTATATTTTTGTAATATTAAAATATCCCTAATTGAATATTATTATTTAATTACAATTTTAGGCTTTTACTTATAGGCAACTGCTTGTACAGCTGTGTATTTTTGGTATTATAATCATTATTATTTTATAATAATGTAATAATTGGGTTTAGAAGATTATTGTGAATTATCTAGTTATCGTAAATAGGTTATTTATTTAATTAATATTTGAAGTAGTGCTGTTAATCCATAAAAAGAATTGACAGAAACTTCTACGATGCGCATGCATAAAGAAGTTTCTACGGTGTTTGGACGAGTCCATTATTTGATGATGGTGGGAAGGAAGCTCGAAAAAGGTTTTTCGATGGGATTATTAGGGTGTTGGCTGTTGGTGACTACACACTGGAGGCGAATATTAATAAACAGAAAAACTTCTAAAAGAATATGGTAATCTTCGTACATTGTGGTTCTTTCATATTAGAAGAATATACAGGTTAGTCTGATATTATTTATAATACATATTTTGTTGTAAATGATTGATTTACATGTTTTAATTTCTACAACGGCTGCCATTACGCAATGCTTGTAGTCACGTACCTCAAACAAATGCCTATTTTTCTCAATTATTTATTATTTAGAAAAACATTGAATTAACATTTGATTTATATTTTAAATACTATAATAAACATACGTTTACAAATATTACAAATTATTAGAATACATAATTTTAAACGTTATTATAAAATTATTAAATTACACACTCTTAAACTAAATTTGTATCAACTTTATATTTAGTATTATTATTGTGATTGGACCAGTTTTACAGTTTGATTAATATCTGTGTTTTCAATTGACTTATCGAGACAAGTGAAAAATAACACTATTTAATATTAGGGTTTAAGGTTCCTTGATTTATGTATATGATTTGACCATGCTCCTTGAAGATTAAATATAAAAAGTTACAACAAACAAATATATCGCCTAAATGGCACAATAACAAATATATCGCCTTAAATGGCACAATAATAAATATGTCGCCTAAATGGCACAATAACAAATATATCGCCTAAATGGCACAATAACAAATATGTCGCCTAAATGGCAAACTAACAAATATGTCACTTAAGTGTCACAATTAAAAGTATATTACCTAAAGGGTAAATACAACAATATTATACCGAAATGGTTCAACAATAACAAACTTGCCTAAATGGCTTTACACACAATAAGTTGTTAACACCGTCGTTATTTTTATCGACGAGGTTCAGGGTCTCAGTATATATTCTTGGTTCACCACTCTACCTGCACGTTATAATTGTAATGATTTTGACTACTATTATGTTTTGGATCAGGGTCTCCTTGGATTGACCATAATCCTAACCTTACTTTAACTACGCGAATATGGCACGGTATAATTGGAATGATTTTGACTACTATTATGTTTTGGATCAGGGTCTCCTTGGATTGACCATAATCCTAACCTTACTTTAACTACGCGAATACGGCACGGTATAATTGGAATGATTTTGACTACTATTATGTTTTGGATCAGGGTCTCCTTGGATTGACCATAATCCTAACCTTACTTTAACTACGCGAATACGACACGGTATAATTGGAATGATTTTGAATACTATTATGTTTTGGATCAGGGTCTCCTTGGATTGACCATAATCCTAACCTTATTTTAACTACGCGAATTGCAGACATTTAGATCTTGTTTCGAGCATTGATTGAGTTGTAGTAAAATAATTTATTTAAGTACTGGACCAAAGAAATATTCAAAATTACTTATATGTTCATACAAGTGTACAATATTGACAAGATTACAAATGAAATTAATTAACTATTTACTCAACGTTTTACCGGGTTTTTAAACCACAGAGAAATAGTGGCACCTCTGATCTTATAAATAAATAAGTCATAAAATGAGCATGCTAGTGTTTTATTTAAACAATTCCTGACAATAAGTAAGTATGATACCTTGAAAAAGAACTGTAGTTACTATGTAGGTTTTTAGTTAAACATTTCACAACGAGACGATTACAGCTATTTGGCCAATTAAATTAAACCTTATATTATTATTATTTTATGTATTACCCTTTTTCATTAAACGATGAGTCAGGGGTCTCCACCTTACACTACTTACATATCTAAATTAAAAGAACTGTTTATGGTTTTTTGATGTTTTAAATTCTAATCCGACCAGAGAATTGCTCCAAAACATCCGTTTTTGAGAAATTTTAACCAAAAGTAAAAAAAACCCTGAAAGAACACTTTTTTAAATTTCAAATTTAACAAGGCTGCTTAATTATTTTTTCAATGCTCCTCCACTGTGCGGATCCGCTCATTCTTCAGCTACATCATTACGTACGTGATTAATTTCTACTCCAGACATTTATTTTACTAATTTATGGACTGCGGCTGGCGAACACTACGTTCTTATTGTATTTGCTGCGTTTTTAATTGTAACCATCTTATTATTGTTACGATAGCTAGACCGGCACAGGATGGCAAATAATCGCAGAAGAACAATCTTCGAAAGAACTTTACTTCTTCGAGATGCTGGCTGCGTGGTGGTTTTCATCTCTGCGGCTCCGTAGCTAATGGACAAGTGTCCTTGACCCCTATATCCCAGTAATTACACTGTGCCTTGTTACAGCCAAGTCGTATTCATCACTGTCAATAGGTTCTCTTAAATAGTTCCTTGTTTATTGGAATAACTGAAGAAGGCTAATATGGAAATCTTAAATGCCTCTGCCTACTTAGGTACTTGACATTTGCTTGGATGCAAAAATTCTGCTTCTCGTTAGGGAAATTTTTAAAATAGAAAAAAAAAATTGTTAATAATTGCAAAGATATGATGATCTAACGTTTTAATTTTCTGACAACTGTCAACCATGCCTTAATAATTTTGTTTCCATAGCAATTGTTCTTAGATGTTTGATAAATCGGGTATAATGATTAATTAACTCAAAAACTACTGAGAAAAAAAATTGTATTTCTTTATGTTTAAAATATTTTCTCTATTCGACAGCCTGTATTTACTAAATACTATTTAGCCAATTTTTTATTAAATTTTATAGTACCTAGGTAGGTAAGTAGTTTTGTTTAATTGTTGAAAAACATTGTCGGTATTTAATAATTATTAAAAAAAAAATTATGGGCTTTCAGTAACGATTGACTTTTTTTGTTGTGAAGGTCCAAACCCCACTTTAGTGTTTTTTTGGCATTTTTATTTTTATATTGGCTTAAGTACTTTCCATTGACGAATTCCAATATTGTCACAAATTTGATAGACCGAAAAATTCATTATCCGGTTTGGCTAGGCACAAAAGTCTGTTTGTATTTCTGCATTAAGAAGTATTCTTGTTAGTGAACAGGTAGATAAACTAACTTGAATAATTGTTTTCTTAGTAATCCCAGATTATTGTTGCCTACCTCTTTGGAAAGTCATCCGGGGGGTTGGACTATTTGAAATAAAATAAGCACTTAAACCTTTCCCTTATTGCTTGTTGTTTTCTTTTTTTAATTACGTAAAATACTGCTAAGTAAAATAAATAATGCATTGGGAATTTTAATGAAATTGTTATTTTAGAATTAACAACTTCATTAAAACAGCATACCTTCTTACAAACAGTTTTAAATTCTAAACATTTGAGATAAAAAGAGCTGCAGTTGTAAAGATAAAATTGACGTATAGTTTAAATAAATTTTGTGACGAAACCATTACTATAAACAATGTTAAAGTACTAAATAATACAAATAAATAGTCAGATTTGTATCTAGGTACCTATTTGCTTATAAATATTTAATTTTCTTTCCACAAACATAAAGATATGACAAGGAAAAATTAAAAATACTACAGCATTTGTTTTTTTTTACGTTGCTTTAAGAAAAAAATTAATTAAGTAAACTTAAAGTTAA